TGTTCTAAGTTTTATTGTTAATTGTCATTACATTAAGTTCCTTGTTTTTGTTTTAGATCATATATTTTGCTACAATATGCCTTACTTTTTCTATTAATGACAGAAAAGTTTAAAACTTTTTGACTCCTATTTAACTTCCGTAAAAAATAGTGAACTAACCGAGTATTGATGGTCATATATATATATATATATATATATATATTCTCATTGGTCCGTTTACGTGTCTCTATTTCATGGAATGCGGAGAATTTATAGTGTTCACAATTCTGATGGAATATGCTATTTTAAACAAAACGAAGACCAAAATACGAAACGAAAAATTAAGAAAATTAAAACAGCAATACCATTCCAATATATCGTTAACTGATCCACGGGACCACTAATAACTATTTCATGCTGGCTCGAACAAATTTTAATGGTCCCAGACCAACGGACCACCGTTAATGTCAAGCCCAGCTTAGACTAACTATGACAAAGTATAATTTCAACCCATCATTATTAATTCATTTTTTAAATTATTTCCGAAGAAAATAATGGCAATGATTAGAACAAAATATAAATTTCAAAATTTACCCAAATAGCAAGAAAATAATAGTTTTTGGTTTTTTCCCTACATTTTTTATAAGATTTATTTTTGATTAAACTTAACTACGAATTTTTGTGCATGTAAAATTAAAACAGGTCAAATTTTATTAAAATTCATCCCCTTCTATAAACATCAGAGGACGCTTTGGTTTAGTTAGACAAGTGATTTCATCCCTAAATAACAGCATATACTATTTACATTCGTTGTTGAAAAAGCATTTTCTAAAATTCCGTTTTTAAACTGTGTACAGCTACATAATATAATAAATGATCTGAAAAACAACTAACTATAATATTTAGAATTTTATATTCACTTTTTGAAATGGGAAACAAAGTTTTAAACACTTTCTAAAACAGAAAGAAGCATTCATCGGTTTTTTGTTTTTTTCCCTCGACAATTTTTTCTTGACTAAAATAATCGCGAAAAAAATTCTAATGAATAAAATTCTAATAAAATAATAATACAATAAAATAAAATTATAATTCTAACGAAAACAATGAATTATAATTAAAATTTAAAAGAGAAAAAGCATATTTTAGAAATAATGGCAAAAAAAAATTTAATTAATAAAATTCTAATAATATAACTCCAATCAAATAAAATTATAATTCTAACTAAAACAATGAATTCTAATTAAAATAAAAAAAAAGAAAAGAAGCATACTTTAGAAATTATTATAAATTTTTTTTGTGGATAAAAACAAATAATAATGGAAAAAATTCAAACAAAAATTATATTGCGTATTACACGAACTTGTTTCAGAAAAAGCTTAAAAATAAAATTCATCATCAAGATTTAATTTTAAAAGCAAAACTATTTAAATAATGTAAAATAGAGAAGTTAAATACAAAGAAGAAAAAAATGTGTTAAATGAAAATTATTTGTATTATTTTATATATTTATTAATTTTCAAAACTTCAATATGTAAAATGTTGAACACAAACTAAACTCCACACCCTTTCAACGAATAAAATTATATCCTGATTCATGATTGCATTAACTAAAAATAATAATAATAATATTACTAAATAAAGCTTAAAAAGATTTTTGTGTTAGTTTAATTGATATACTAAATTAATTTGCTACAAAAATTAATAAAAGTATAAATACAATTAGAAAAAAGTTCACAAATTAAAATATATAATTATTACGAATTAAAATATGTAATTATATAATACATAATTATTTATAAGATGTTTATCCATTCTTTTTTCCCTTGTTGCAATTAATCCCAAAAATAGAACGTTAAAATTAACACTTATAACCGACGATTATGAAGACAGCGCCAAGAATTAAGATGATTACATCTAAAATTGGCTTCCAGACTTGATTGCAAAATTTATCCAGTGTTTATATAGCGGCGGAAGTTGCTTTTGAGAAGATGGATGAATGAGGGAACCGCTAAATAGAATGTCAGGACGCGTAACAAAAAAGTATTCTTTCTTTAAAGATTCTTTGTCTTGACACGTTACATAGGAGATGGGAAAATGTTGGGCAATAGTTCAAGATTCAATCAATACAATTATTTTCTTTTCGACGCTTCGCTTTCTACAACTCACTCAATCAAGAGCAACTGGCAGTCCGAAATAAACAGTTCAACGGGAACGTTGGCAAAAATACATACAATTCTTTGAAATACAATGAAACATAATAAACATCACGTAAATAATGGAGTAATCAAAGAAAACATAAGATTTTATTAGATAATTTTGAAACTTTGTACTGTGCTCGATATTTTAAAAACTTGCTTCTGCACTTAAAATCAATTTTTCAAGACATCATATTTTTCCAACCATCTCGATCAGAGTTATCGTGAGTTCATTTTCTAATTTTATATGGTTTTATTTCATTTAAAAAGGAAATTTTATAGGAATTAAAAAAGAGCAGTATCTATTCATAAATTTGTCTTTGTACATTAAAAAAACTGTTTATTCTTGAAAGTAAAATACCCAATAACGTAATCCTTCCTTAAAATTTTAATCTTTTTCGTTGTTTAAAAATAAACAATATATTTACCGTTACAAGATAGTTATCCTGTACCGTTAACCAGTAGCTTTTTTTAGTACTAACTTATATGAGTGTCTAATGTTTTCATTAAAATTTAATTAAAAAAAAAATCTGGAGAATAGCGAGAGTGTTATTATATATATATATATAGCTCGATTGGCGTGTTACCATCCTTGTAAGTCTGTAAAAGTTGTTTCACCTTCTTTACTCAATCAATGCAGGCAAAAAATCATGCAGGGTTACACCGAATTTTTTCAAAAGGCTTCTCTTCAAAAGTGCTATCATCAATGAAATAACGCTTTTTAGCACACGATATGCTGTTTTTAAAATGTCAGGAGTTTGATATTTATGCTATGTTTCATCCATCTTCCCCCAGCGTGATCTATGCTAATATGAAAAATGTCGCCAAAATGTAAAGAAACGCAAAAATTGGAAAATATTCACTAATTTTAAATTAATTGGAAAAAATCAAACAAAAATCTACTTTTTTTAAAGTTTATTTTTATTCTTAAATATTTAAGCTATATGTCCGTTTTTAAGCCTGGAAAATTTTTATAGTAACCATATTAAAATATTGGCAGAAATAGCGAATTTTACTAAGAAATCTTACACTGAACTTAGAAATTAGAAAAATTTCCCATCTTAACTAAGAAATTTTTCGAAACTCAAAAATG